ATTAACCAATTATAAAGAAAGTATTATAGCCGAAGAAAAAGGAAATCTTTCTTCTGGGAAAATTAAATTTAACATCAATATACAACTTAGATTATCATTAAAAGATAAAGATTTGGATAATTCAATAGTTATCCAATACAAACTAGATAGAACAGATTTCATGGAAAAAGGAAATCACCCTTTTTCTATAACCTATCAGATTAACTACGCATTAACAAATAGTCATCACAGTTTAAACTTTAGAAACAAAGATATTATAGAAATAGATGACTTATTTAAACCAATAATTTATTTAAAAAGATCACTAACAGCAATAGAACCAGGACGAAAATCGTTGTTACGACTTAACCCAAGATTAAGTATACAAGAATCACCATCTCTATTATTCAACACTGAACAATCAGAAGAAAACCAGGAAGATTACTCTAAATTACGAAAAACAATATCACAAATCAACAATCTTACAAAATGAATTTCAACGAAGACTTTATCAAAAAATTATCCCTATTAAATCTTGAAAGTTTACCATGTCTAGATCATCTTGAACAATTATTAGTTGAAACTATAGAAAGTATATTTAAAGAACGAACTTATGGAACAATCGAACCGAATGAACTTAATGAAGAAAATAGAAGAATAAAAATGATCAGTTCAATATTTAACGCAGTAAGAGAAATTAAAAGAGACATTATCGAAAACCATAACGATTAGAATGTAAAAAATATATAAGAAAAATATTGAATTATTAAACAAACCAATACAATATTTCGAAATAGAAAATAATGTAAGAGATATGCAACGAATAATAGAAAAAAAACAAATTAATAATATAATTACAGAATTAAATAAATTAATTACAATAAAAAAAATAAAAGAAATAAAAGTTGAATACTTCAAAAAACGTCCATCGAAAGATAATTATAACGGACATGACTTCCATTTTTAGAAGAAACATTAAATCGAATAAGAAAAATACTAAGTTTTTTCGAAAACGAATTAAAGTCTTCTGAATAAAATAATAATAAAAAAATAATTATTATATTCAAGGATAAAATTGAAATTATCAAAAATTTTAAGATTATAAAATAAAAATGACTTTTAAAATCATTTTTTAAATCCCTTTTGAATGGGCGTAGGGACGTGAGGAGCACGCGCTGGACTCCAAATAACAAACCTGAAAAATCACGCCACGACGGCTTCTTCTTATCTGCAAAAACCAAATCAATTCATCTTTCTCTCTCCTCTGATTAAAGACTGCTCGTCGTCCCCTCTCTCGGATAAGAATCCGCCATGAAAATAAAGAACAAAGGTAAAGTTTATCCATCTCCTCCTTCGAGCTCTCTCAATGGAGATGGCTTTCTCTCTGTCTTGAAGCTTCTTCCCGCCGCGATCCTTGTTCTCGCTTCGGCTCTCTCAGCCGACGACCGTGAAGTCCTCGCTTACTTGATCACTAGGTCCCTCAAAACCACCACCGCCGTCTCCGCCGTCGGAAAGTTCAGGAGCCCCTCCTCGTCGTCTTCCTCCACGGCTCATGACTCTAAGAAGAAGAGGAATAAATCTGGGAAAAAAGGTGAAACCCATCAACCACCGGAGTTCGATTGTGAGTGTTTCGATTGTTACACCAGCTACTGGTTCCGATGGGATTCATCGCCGAATCGCGAGCTCATCCACCAAGCCATCGAGGCCTTCGAAGATCATCTGATTAGAGGCGAAGCCTCTGCTTCCGCTTCTTCCCAGAAATCCAAGAGAAACAGCGGCAGGGGCAAGAAGAAAGAGAAATCCGGTCGTCGGGGAGGAGACAAGCCCAAACCCGCCGAGCCGTTGATCCAAACCGACGAATCTGCCGCCGATGACTCCGCCGTTTCCGATCAAATCCCCCTCCTGTCCCCTGCGGGCTCGCCGGGCAGATTGACCGACGAGGGAGGTCCTAACGTAGCGGAGAGAAAAAAGGAGGAGGTAGCCGGGGAGAGACCGGAGAGTTCGCCGGTGATTGTACGGACGCCGGCGGGAACTGAACGGAAGGGTTTGGCGAGGAAGGTGTTGCCGGACGTGTTAGGTTTATTCAATTCGCGTTTTTGGAGCCTCTGGAATCCGAACGCGTAAGATATCATCGGAACTAATGCTCCTTTTGCTTTTTTTTTTTATAAAAAAAATATTTTTCCATTTTGGAACCCAACTTCGTTGGGAAAAAAAAGGTGAATGCATTTACCTTTGTTTTTTTTCCTTTTTCTTATATAAATATTAAGAATTAAGGTAATGGTTATATTGTGTATTATAATATTCTATAGGTTGAAATGCAGCGCATTATCAATCCCCCAATCCCTTTTTATCTTTTTAAAAAGACGAAATTTTGACGGGTTCCTTTATTGTTTCCATATTCCGTTCAACTTTCCATGAAAATTGTAAATCTTCCCGGAAAATTTGCATGAAAAAGGATATTCCGTTCAGTCTCCTTCTCCTTTGGTTGGTGATACCACTTTAGTAAGTGTAGTTTTTATTGTCGATTTTATTTCATTTTTTTTTTATAGATTTTGCTTAGGAACAACGTTTATGGATTAGGTAGAGACGATTTGAAAATGGAGGACCAACAAATCATGAAAATTACCTTGATAGGAAACATTCTCAGGGATAAATTTAGAACCATCCCACTCTGCTTTTGACATTATTTTATCAGAAAATTCTGGCACACATGTACCTGGACAGCCGCCACACCCTGAGCAATACTGCTACGCTAAACCAATTTATGGAACCAAATTCTACGGACAGAACCCGCCAGATTACTTCAGAAAATCCTTTGCCGGCATTGAAGCAACACAAGTTGATGAAGAAGATCATGAAGATGAAGAGTCAGCAGTAGTTTCTGAGATCTTCCATGGCTTTCTTGCAATTGGCACCCTTGGCTCAGACCCTAATGTCAGTACCCCATCAACACCGACATTCACCATCTCCTTAGAGAATGAGACTGGAAAGGAAACAGAGGTAACAGAAAGAGAACTGAAACTCCTTAATGATAATTTGGAGAAGATTCTTGGAGCTGAAGTCAAAGAAGAGATATGTGATGCCTCTTCGGGGAGAAACAGTCATGTCAGTGCTGGCAGAAGCAGCCAAGGAAGTACCATCACTCTAACTGGGAAGACTTTGGAGATTCCGGAGACCAACCGCAGTGGAAGTAATGTCTGTCCTCTCCAGGGATATCTCTTTGGATCAGCAATTGAAATGTCGGAAACAACAACAGCAAAGAAGGAACATAGGACATCTCTGAGAGAGCTGTTTCAAAAGACTAAAATAACGGATGAGTACAGTGGAGGAAGGTGTGAGAGAGATGAAAAACGAACAGAGAAGGATGCACATAAATCAGCAGTCAATATGATGAAAAAGATGCTGAAGAAAAAAGTTCCACAAGTATCCAGAAGCTCCACAGCAGCATATGCTCGAGAAGCAAATTCATCCTCGGCGGAAACAAAACTTAACAAGGTACACCTAATAAACTCTAAAACGATATCCTCAGTTCCATTCTTCATAAGGCTGTGACAGATAATTAACTTTGACAGTAACAGTATAACATTTGAGGTAAGATATGAAGCTAATTATTGATGAAAGCAAGATACTGACAACGGCTAGTTATATGAGTTTTGATCAACATGACAAGAAATCTCTGGCCTCTAAGCTTCGGCAGTGAATGTACAAGGATATCGGTTTGCTTTCAGGAAGAAGGAAAGAAGGTAACCGTAAGAAAACAAACGAGTTAGTTTTCATAGAAAAAAACAGAAGTCTAGCCAAGATTAAATCAGATTCAAGTTGCAACTATTCCTGAGAGTGCCATCACATTGTAAGCAAACAATCCTTATTATGGAATGGTAGTACCTTTGATGCATTCAAGTCATTCCATTTCCGGACACTATGTATATAACCTGCATGATTAACACACCATGGTAAACTGAACATGAACATCTTCAACAAGGAAGAGACGGTAATTGGACTATTCTATCGACTATTTCAGTAAAAACTCACCACAGAGGGCAGCTAAAATCAGACAACAATTTTCAGAATTTATTGACGATGCATGTGATAAATTCTTTTACAAATCTATATTCGATTTGAGCCGTTGGTGGTAACGGGAAAATGTTTTGCATCTCATGCTACGCTATTTAGGATCTTTCTACAAACTTTTAGCGAACAAAATATCCAACTTGCTATAGGCCACGAGTACAGTGTACTAGTGGCAAACAGCAGTACATGACAATTGAAATGTCGAAACAAAGCCATAGACATTGAGGTGATTAGGCGTCTCTCATGAGCGACCGTACCCAAATTGATCTTAGACCATTGGTTACCTATACCTTTCATAGACGCGATGCATAAGAATCAAAAGGATGATCATTAAAAGCTGTAAACAATGCAGGATCATATCATAGAAATTCCTAACCCGTTTGACAAAACCATGGGGATGCACCTATGCAATGTTCACTTCTTACATCAAGAAATGAGGACCCACTGGCAAGCAATCACATGAGTTGATCTTGATAACCACAATCTTGTAATTATCTCTGTGTTTCTCTCAAGCCATCTTACTTTTGGCTACTAGAGACTTGGAAGAGCTGCTTATATTCCTGAAAAAAAGAGCTCGGTTTACTCACAGAGGCGCTTTACTCAAAAACCTTTTTGTTTCAACAGAGCAAGTTCCAAAGTAGCAAAGCAGGAGATATATCATGAAGGTAATTACCAAAATCCATTATACTGAGTAATAATGATCTTCCATGCTGTTGTTAACTCCTAAAACTCTCTGATGCAGTTACTGGGCTGGATGCACCGGAAGTTCAGACAGAATAGCAATGAATCACTCAAGGATTTTGTCATTGGTTAGTGCTCCTCTGCCATGGTTTTGCATATGAAAGTGTAAAAGTAGAGATATGGACCCCCAATGTTACATTTGGAATTGATTAGGATGACGTAGAAAATCTGAAAATGGGGAAATAACGTTCATGAAGGCCTGCATAGCACCATGTTGTACATGCTACTCGTAGACTTGTGTTGAACACATGCTGCTAGATATGTACAGAGGCTTCCTTTTCAAATCATGTATTGCATGTCAACACACTTAATACCCTAGTGAAAACCACAGTTAATATAATATACGCATGAAAATTACCTTGATAGGAAACATTCTCAGGGATAAATTTAGAACCATCCCACTCTGCTTTTGACATTATTTTATCAGAAAATTCTGGCACACATGTACCTGGACAGCCGCCACACCCTGAGCAATACTGCTACGCTAAACCAATTTATGGAACCAAATTCTACGGACAGAACCCGCCAGATTACTTCAGAAAATCCTTTGCCGGCATTGAAGCAACACAAGTTGATGAAGAAGATCATGAAGATGAAGAGTCAGCAGTAGTTTCTGAGATCTTCCATGGCTTTCTTGCAATTGGCACCCTTGGCTCAGACCCTAATGTCAGTACCCCATCAACACCGACATTCACCATCTCCTTAGAGAATGAGACTGGAAAGGAAACAGAGGTAACAGAAAGAGAACTGAAACTCCTTAATGATAATTTGGAGAAGATTCTTGGAGCTGAAGTCAAAGAAGAGATATGTGATGCCTCTTCGGGGAGAAACAGTCATGTCAGTGCTGGCAGAAGCAGCCAAGGAAGTACCATCACTCTAACTGGGAAGACTTTGGAGATTCCGGAGACCAACCGCAGTGGAAGTAATGTCTGTCCTCTCCAGGGATATCTCTTTGGATCAGCAATTGAAATGTCGGAAACAACAACAGCAAAGAAGGAACATAGGACATCTCTGAGAGAGCTGTTTCAAAAGACTAAAATAACGGATGAGTACAGTGGAGGAAGGTGTGAGAGAGATGAAAAACGAACAGAGAAGGATGCACATAAATCAGCAGTCAATATGATGAAAAAGATGCTGAAGAAAAAAGTTCCACAAGTATCCAGAAGCTCCACAGCAGCATATGCTCGAGAAGCAAATTCATCCTCGGCGGAAACAAAACTTAACAAGGTACACCTAATAAACTCTAAAACGATATCCTCAGTTCCATTCTTCATAAGGCTGTGACAGATAATTAACTTTGACAGTAACAGTATAACATTTGAGGTAAGATATGAAGCTAATTATTGATGAAAGCAAGATACTGACAACGGCTAGTTATATGAGTTTTGATCAACATGACAAGAAATCTCTGGCCTCTAAGCTTCGGCAGTGAATGTACAAGGATATCGGTTTGCTTTCAGGAAGAAGGAAAGAAGGTAACCGTAAGAAAACAAACGAGTTAGTTTTCATAGAAAAAAACAGAAGTCTAGCCAAGATTAAATCAGATTCAAGTTGCAACTATTCCTGAGAGTGCCATCACATTGTAAGCAAACAATCCTTATTATGGAATGGTAGTACCTTTGATGCATTCAAGTCATTCCATTTCCGGACACTATGTATATAACCTGCATGATTAACACACCATGGTAAACTGAACATGAACATCTTCAACAAGGAAGAGACGGTAATTGGACTATTCTATCGACTATTTCAGTAAAAACTCACCACAGAGGGCAGCTAAAATCAGACAACAATTTTCAGAATTTATTGACGATGCATGTGATAAATTCTTTTACAAATCTATATTCGATTTGAGCCGTTGGTGGTAACGGGAAAATGTTTTGCATCTCATGCTACGCTATTTAGGATCTTTCTACAAACTTTTAGCGAACAAAATATCCAACTTGCTATAGGCCACGAGTACAGTGTACTAGTGGCAAACAGCAGTACATGACAATTGAAATGTCGAAACAAAGCCATAGACATTGAGGTGATTAGGCGTCTCTCATGAGCGACCGTACCCAAATTGATCTTAGACCATTGGTTACCTATACCTTTCATAGACGCGATGCATAAGAATCAAAAGGATGATCATTAAAAGCTGTAAACAATGCAGGATCATATCATAGAAATTCCTAACCCGTTTGACAAAACCATGGGGATGCACCTATGCAATGTTCACTTCTTACATCAAGAAATGAGGACCCACTGGCAAGCAATCACATGAGTTGATCTTGATAACCACAATCTTGTAATTATCTCTGTGTTTCTCTCAAGCCATCTTACTTTTGGCTACTAGAGACTTGGAAGAGCTGCTTATATTCCTGAAAAAAAGAGCTCGGTTTACTCACAGAGGCGCTTTACTCAAAAACCTTTTTGTTTCAACAGAGCAAGTTCCAAAGTAGCAAAGCAGGAGATATATCATGAAGGTAATTACCAAAATCCATTATACTGAGTAATAATGATCTTCCATGCTGTTGTTAACTCCTAAAACTCTCTGATGCAGTTACTGGGCTGGATGCACCGGAAGTTCAGACAGAATAGCAATGAATCACTCAAGGATTTTGTCATTGGTTAGTGCTCCTCTGCCATGGTTTTGCATATGAAAGTGTAAAAGTAGAGATATGGACCCCCAATGTTACATTTGGAATTGATTAGGATGACGTAGAAAATCTGAAAATGGGGAAATAACGTTCATGAAGGCCTGCATAGCACCATGTTGTACATGCTACTCGTAGACTTGTGTTGAACACATGCTGCTAGATATGTACAGAGGCTTCCTTTTCAAATCATGTATTGCATGTCAACACACTTAATACCCTAGTGAAAACCACAGTTAATATAATATACGCATGAAAATTACCTTGATAGGAAACATTCTCAGGGATAAATTTAGAACCATCCCACTCTGCTTTTGACATTATTTTATCAGAAAATTCTGGCACACATGTACCTGGACAGCCGCCACACCCTGAGCAATACTGCTACGCTAAACCAATTTATGGAACCAAATTCTACGGACAGAACCCGCCAGATTACTTCAGAAAATCCTTTGCCGGCATTGAAGCAACACAAGTTGATGAAGAAGATCATGAAGATGAAGAGTCAGCAGTAGTTTCTGAGATCTTCCATGGCTTTCTTGCAATTGGCACCCTTGGCTCAGACCCTAATGTCAGTACCCCATCAACACCGACATTCACCATCTCCTTAGAGAATGAGACTGGAAAGGAAACAGAGGTAACAGAAAGAGAACTGAAACTCCTTAATGATAATTTGGAGAAGATTCTTGGAGCTGAAGTCAAAGAAGAGATATGTGATGCCTCTTCGGGGAGAAACAGTCATGTCAGTGCTGGCAGAAGCAGCCAAGGAAGTACCATCACTCTAACTGGGAAGACTTTGGAGATTCCGGAGACCAACCGCAGTGGAAGTAATGTCTGTCCTCTCCAGGGATATCTCTTTGGATCAGCAATTGAAATGTCGGAAACAACAACAGCAAAGAAGGAACATAGGACATCTCTGAGAGAGCTGTTTCAAAAGACTAAAATAACGGATGAGTACAGTGGAGGAAGGTGTGAGAGAGATGAAAAACGAACAGAGAAGGATGCACATAAATCAGCAGTCAATATGATGAAAAAGATGCTGAAGAAAAAAGTTCCACAAGTATCCAGAAGCTCCACAGCAGCATATGCTCGAGAAGCAAATTCATCCTCGGCGGAAACAAAACTTAACAAGGTACACCTAATAAACTCTAAAACGATATCCTCAGTTCCATTCTTCATAAGGCTGTGACAGATAATTAACTTTGACAGTAACAGTATAACATTTGAGGTAAGATATGAAGCTAATTATTGATGAAAGCAAGATACTGACAACGGCTAGTTATATGAGTTTTGATCAACATGACAAGAAATCTCTGGCCTCTAAGCTTCGGCAGTGAATGTACAAGGATATCGGTTTGCTTCAAAGCCGTATTTTGATACTTTTAGTTGCATGTGGCATGTTTTTCATGTTTCCGTACATGGCATGTAGATCCTACACATATTTCACAGAAAAGTGCATCCTGAAAGTTCAACAGCAAGTAAAATGCCCATGAAACTCCCCAAAGACAAAAAGAAGCACAGGAGCATCTCTTCTGATGGTGCAAGCAATGATGAAGGCTGGACTTTCCCGAAAAGTGACACTATGGCACTTGCTCAGGGTGCCATTCCTGATGACAAGGGGACAAGAAACTGCTACAAGAGCCAGTTCAATACTCAGTTCACTTTAAAAAGTGACTCAAACGGGAACAGGGAGTTCTGGATCAAATCAGATGCAGACTGTAAGTTAAAAAAAGAAGAAGCCACATTCTCTATCATAAAACCCATGCCATCTAACACCACAGTTGTATATACTCAATCTTTGACTGTTGCTGCAGATTTGGTATTGGAGCTCTAAGTCAAACGCTCGGCTGCTGGATGGTTATTGGTTATCAGTGGTCAGTCTCAAGTATGAGGCACTACCCTATCATCAAATCTACTTATTAATGTTTACCCTTGTCCATATATGAACCATATGGTGTGCATGTCTAAGAGAATCCGAGACCGAGAATAAGAAATTATCGTGTGTGTGTGTGTGTTCTGTCGTGTATTTCCAACCCCCATGTTGATTATTGTGGTGTATGCTCATTGCTCAATGTTTCTTGCCCCCAGAATCAAACCATAAACCAAATTTCATTTGCCAGGCAGAGAAATCGTCAGCGTATTATCGAAAAGGGTGGAATAGAAATAATGGTAATGTATGGTGAAGATACAGACAAAAGGGAACAGACAAAAGATGGAAGCCGCCATATCTCGTCGGCTGTAAGATCCGAATGGCATCAGGACAGATATAAAGATCAAGACGTTAAAAGACACAACAACTCTAACCATTGTCCTAATGTGAAACAGCGAGCTGCAAGATAGCAACATCGACCAGACAAGAGTTATCGCCATTGTCGAAAACACATAAAAAAGTCTAGGCATCGTGATAACATCATCATACATACCCAATATAGATTTGGATTCCCACCTCGAGCAATACCGCTCTCGGAGGAGTAAAATCACGGAATCAGAGACACAGAAATGCAAAACCACAAAAAAGAAGATATTAGCAGGAAAAAAAAACCATTTTCTCCAATTTGCAGAATGCGACGAAAGGAAGATACCGGAAGACGTTAAGTCACTCGTTTTCTCGGCAACCAAACAGGAAATCCACCCGTTGGGGAGGGGTAGCAATAACATTACAAAAAAAAAAAGTAATTAGAATGCTAGAGTTTCCGTCGGGAATTTTACTCAAATCACCCACTTGGGTCGCACCTATTTCACGTATACACCAGAAAAAACATAACACTTTCTTTTTTGTTGAAAAGACGAAATTACCCTTAATGAATACGCGATTTTTATCCGTTCGAAAACAACTTCGTAATTAATTCTAAATATAATTACAATTGATTCTAAAAAAGGTGGCAAAAAAATCATATGTTTTATTTTAGTTGTATATCAGTTATATGTTAGTCGTAATAAGGTCGCAAAAAATAAAACGAAAAGGGTATTTCGGACTTTTCCAACCAAAAAATGGGTTAAAATTGATTTTATTTTTTTCGGTGGTGTACACTGAAATTGTTGTGAGCCAAGTGGGTTATTTGAGTAATATTCCCGTTTCCGGATTCTTGCCTGAACTGAGAGATTCAAGATCCCGGTCTCCGTCGTCTTCGATGCTCAATCCCTCCAGAAAAAAAAAATCTAATGCTCCCCGTAATGAAATCCAAAGGCAGTCTTTTTTTGTTAACGGTTTTTTTTTAAATTATTATTTTGTGAAAAAATAAATAAATTCCTCCTATATCTTTTTAAAATTAAAAATCTTAAATAGGTATCTAATATTGGTTTTCATTAGGTTTTTTTTGTTTACTATTAGTATTCACATTATTATTTTATTTATAATTGTGTACAATGAATTAATTAACTATAGTTAATTTTGAGATAATGGTAATAATGGATATTTTAATTTTGAATTGATTTAAATATTTACATAAAATATAGATATCCAACTTCAATAGTATATTTCGATTCTATTTGGTATATTTCTTCAAATTATTGTTTATTTATATTCTTATGTTTATTTTGTGTAAAATCTTATATAAAAATAATTAGGTTTGAAGGTTTCTCATAAAATTATCTAAATATCCACATTATCAAGTTTCTCAAATTTTATTGAACATTTGATATAATTCAATTGCTTGCAAAAAAATCACATCACCTCCCATCTCATCATTTTTAATGATATGTATTGGGCTATTAATAAATATTTAAAATTCGCATTGTGCAATTTGTAACCACTTGCAGCCGGGGAAACATATTTGATGGAAGAGACACTGAAGATTTATTGGTTGATATTGATGAAAAGGAAGTTTTAGCATCTTAGTCATGGTACGTTTTTTGTTCAATTTATTTTTAATTTTATACTCTATTAAATATCTGTTGTAAAATGAAAAAGGAGATATGTGAAGGAGAGTATTTCTTTTATTGTTTTTTCTTTTTGGTGTGTATTGAAAATAATTTACACATATCTATTTATAGACTTACAAAGGTGTGAAACAATATTTTATAAATTAAATAATAAAAATATTACAAGAAGAATAAATATAGATATTCATTATTTTGTAAATTTCTTAACACTCTCCCTTGAAGGCCTATTGACCAAAAGATATATTTTGATACTGTCTCGTTAAAAAATCTTACCAAGAAAACCCAGTAGAACAAAATTTGGTGAAAAAAGAGTACAGTACATATCTTTTCTCTCCCTGAAAAAATCATCCTTTAATATCTCTCAAATGTCGCATTCTAATCATGTGTACCATCTTCTTAAATGTTGATTTGGGTAGAGACTTAGTGAATAAATCTGCTGGATTCTCACTTGAATTAATTTGATGAATGCTTATTTCACCATTTTCTTGGAGATCATGAGTTAAGAAGAACTTTGGCGAGATATGTTTTGTTTTGTCACCTTTGATGTAACCATTCTTTAATTGCGTTATGCATGCAGTATTATCTTCAAATAAGATTGTAGGAATATCTTTATCGGTTGAAAGGCCACATGTTCTCCAAATATGGTGAGATATCGATCTCAACCAAATATATTCTCGGCTTGCCTCATAAATCGCCAATATTTCTGCGTGATTAGTTGAAGTTGCAACCAAAGTTTGCTTTGTAGAACACCATGAAGTTGCAGTTCCACCATAAGTGAATACATATCCTGATTGAGATCGGGCTTTATGCGGATCTGATAAATATCCTGCATCTGCATAACCAATTAAATCTGATTTGGTCATATTAGAATAATATAAACCCATATCCATAACCCCTCGAAAATATCTAAATACATATTTCACGCCATTCCAATATCTTCGAGTTTGTGAAAAACTATATCTTGCCAATAAACTCACGACAAATGATATATCAGGACGTGTATTATTCGCAAGATACATTAATGCTCCAATAGCACTAAGATATGACACTTCAGGGCCAAGTAGTTTTTCATTTTCATCATGAGGTCTAAATGCATCTTTATTAACATTTAATGACCTTACTACCATGAGAGTACTTAATGGATGAGCTTTATCCATATAAAATCTTTTAAGTACTTTTTCCAAATAAGTAGATTGATATAAGAAAACTCCATCTTTTAGATGTTCAATTTGAAGACCTAAATAATATTTTGTTTTTCCAAGGTCTTTCATTTCAAACTCCTTTTTTAAACATTGCACAACTTGTAATAACTTTTCAGGAGAACCGATGATATTTAAATCATCTACATAAACAGAAATTATGACGAATTTAGATCCTATGATTTTTATGAACATGACATAATGGATCATTATTATAACATTCTTTTATTAAAAATTCACTCAAACGGTTATACCACATCCGTCCTAATTGTTTCAATCCATACAACATTTTGTTTAACTTTACTGAGTAATTTTTCCGGGAATTATCAATATATGGTTCAGACACTTTAAATCCTTCAGGAATGTTCATATAAATATTATGATTTAATGATCCATATAAATAAAGTGTGACTATATCCATGAGGCGCATTTCAAGTCTTTCATGTACTGTCAAACATAACCCTAGAATCGATCTCTTAGGAATAGGATTCGCTCATGAGATCCCAGGAAACCCAACAACAATCTCATGCGGGTCATCCAGTAACTCGTTCCAAACGAGAACCCATGATTGTGATTTGCATCTAATGCATATGATCATAATCATCTATCACACATCATGCTGGTCTTAATTCATCATTGTTCCCACAATGATAACTGACCAGGGAATTTAGAATCATCTGCAATGATTCAAGGATATTTACCGTAATATAACAAACATGCTAATCATATAACGGGAAAAGTAATGCATTCATAAATCAATGGTCTACTATCTGCATATGATTCGTGAACGTATCTGAGCAACGCCGTTATGATCATCCGGTTAAAGACGACGTTTGACGCAGTCAAGACACGTCACTCCTCATATCAGATACTCTAGACATCTCAGGTCTGAGGATCCAAGAACGAACCGCTGTATGAGATTCAAGTCATGACTCGTGTCCATGTGACAATCTCATGCGGGTCATCCAGTAACTCGTTCCAAACGAGAACCCATGATTGTGATTTGCATCTAATGCATATGATCATAATCATCTATCACACATAATGCTGGTCTTAATTCATCATTGTTCCCACAATGAGAACTGACCAGAGAATTTAGAATCATCTGCAATGATTCAAGGATATTTACCGTAATATGTTGAACAAGGGCATGGTTCGAGCCACCCTTCAAGTTCAACCGCTTACTCGTCTAGGCAAACCGACTGATAAAATAGATGTACATTCATCTATAGCGTGGCCACACATTTTCACAGT